CGGCTTCTCCAGCCATGCTGAGGCGGCGTCACACATACAGCAACTAGAAGGATGTGCAACTATGACATACAATTATCTACTGGGGCTTTGGGGAGAAAAAGGGAAAAAAAAAAAAAGGGAGGAGGATTGGCAATAGATGTTAGCTCAAGGCCAGTCTTCCTCAGCAAAAAGAGGAGGATTGGCATGGACGTTAGCTCAGGGCTGATCTTCCTCACAAAAAACAATTAAAAAAAAAAAAAAAAGAGGCAGATCTATGTCTATGGCTACAGGAAAAACTCCAAGATTCATTGTTAAATAAAACAAGCAAAATATGGAATAATATGCATAATTTTCTACTATTTGTGTAAAATAATGGGGATAAATTATATATAAATATAAATATTTGCTTCTATGTGCATAAAATATCTCTGAAAGGTTACATAAGAAATCAATAGCTTTGGCTGTTTCTATGGAATGAAATTAGGTGAGTGGGGGTAGGAGTAGGATACAGATTTTTCTTTAAAAATTGTTTATTTTGAAAATGTTTAAATAGAGAGAGAGAGATATAGTACATATCCAGGATCCACAGTTCTAAAATCCATAAAATTCTGAAATTTCTTTTTTTCCCTAAATTTGGCACTAAAACTCATCTGGGGCAAATCCTGAAGTGAAATGAACTGAGATTCCTTATAGTCTTAATCTGAATTCTGAAACACATCTACTCCCAAAAGCTTATGTATAATCTATAATGAACATCCATATAGTCACCTAGATTTTATAACTGTTCACATTCTGCCATATGTGCTTTCTCTCTCTCTCTGCTGAAATATTTTAAAGTAAATTATAGATGTCATGACATACCACCCTGAATACTTCAGTACCCATCTCTAAAAAATAAGGACATTTTCCTGTGGAACTACAATGTCATTCTTAAACTCAACAAAAGAGAAAAATCACAGGAAGATTTTTCAGTGTATGCTTTTTTGTACTTTTTGTATTTTGACTCTGTGGCTCTATAACTTATTCAATGTATAATAAAATTTAAAATTAAAAATAAACTTAAAATTGATCAGAAAGCTATGGGATCTGCCCAAGGTATCATTAAGGAATAGGGAAGAAAGATTCACAAGAACCCAGTTGAAAGTAGAGATTGAAAAAAACAAATAATTTCATTTCGCTGTCCAACTAAGTTGGGGCTGGTATGAGCAGGGCTTTCGTCAAGTCAGTACTGACAGAGGCATGGTAGGTATGGAAAGCCTATCCAAATCCAAAACAAGTGTCTGCCGCTTTGAAGAAAAGTTTTGTTATCTCCATGATGGAGAGAGTTCAGTGTAATCAACTTGCCACCAGGTGACTGGCTGTTCCAGGATTGGTTGAGGCTCTTGCAAAGTGGCCTCTCAACAGTGATGGTGTCTAGATTAGTCTTAGTGAAAGAAAGGCTTTTTAAAAAAAAATTTTGAGCCTATGCACATCCTCCATCATAGCAGCCATGGTCATGTTCAAAAGCTTCTTGAGCAAATAGAGATAGCTGAAAAAACAGTTGCTAACATCCGTAGGGCAGATCAGCTTCCTCACTTGCTTATTGAAACCCTCTTACACAGCAGGTTAGTGAACATTCATATGGGCCACAAATAATTTTACACTTGGGTCTATCCAGCTACCAGCTAGTTCCCTCAATCGCTTTGTCATTAATCCTCCAAATCTTTTTCTTCTTCTCTTTCTCCTTCCCCTTCTTTTTTCTTTTTGACCTTATGACATAACCCACAGCAGAGTCAGTATCCAATATGCCTGCTTCCAGATTGAGGTAACCCTCACTCTTTTTAGTTAGTCTTGTAGTCAGCATTTCTTCTTGTCTCTGAGCTGAGTGGAATTTTTAATATTTTCAGTAGGAATTCCCAATTCTAAATTAAAAATAATCCCTTCTGTCCCAGGACACTCGTCAAGGTACTGCTATAGGGGAATCTCCTCCCAAACAGACAAATGAGAGCCAGTATTTCTTAGAGCTGTTTAACTACAGGGACATTCAATGCACTGTGCATTTGACCCTAGAGTGGAGCCTGCCTGAGTGCTACAGTTGACCTACTTAACAAGCACACATAAACCAGTTAGAGAGTCAGTGAGACATCTGAGAGTTTCATACAAATATGAAAACTGTGGGGGCCAGCCCGTGACGCAAGTGGTTATGTGTGCGCCCTCTGCTGCGGCGGCCCGGGGTTCGCCAGTTCGGATCCGGGTGCCACTGACGCACTGCTTGGCAAGCCATGCTGTGGTGGCGCCCCATATAAAGTGGAGGAAGATGGGCACGGATGTTAGCCCAGGGCCAGTCTTCCTCAGCAAAAAAAAAAAAAAAAAAAAGGAGGAGGATTGGCAGATGTTAGCACAGGGCTGATCTCCTCACAAAAAGAAAAGAAAACTGTGTATATTTGTCACAGAGGGGAATTCAAAATAGAAGAGAATGACATATGTAAACACTCTATTCAACTCCAGGAAGAGCTGAGCCTTTACTCCCACTATATAGTTTGTTAGGAAAGTTTGTATGAGAGCTTTGCAAATGAAGTACTATGCTGGAGAAAGTTATCAGGATCTTGAGCAAATTTTCTTCATGCTGGTGCTCTTTTAGTGGTTACACACATTGGATATTTGGAAGAAGCTGAAGTAAAGGATGAAGCCTGTGTTTATTTAATACCCTCACACGGCTGGGTTGAGGAAAATAACCAAAGAAATTTACTGCGCTACAGTTTTGTAGTTAAAATGCATTACAAAACCTCCACTAACACACAAGATACTTTCTTCCTGCTATGATAAAATAACGAGGTTCTGTGAAAACAAAACAAAACAGTTTAATCCATGCTATACCACCATTCTGACTGACATAATAAAATTGATCAATGACTAACAGTACTTATAAATATGCTTTTGTGTACCAATAAAGCTAATTTAATTGGTTTTGGATTGATTTTTTATTACTACTAAAAATCCAGACGACTTTTGTAGCAAAAAAAAAACAAAAACAAAAGGAAGGGAGGAAAGACGGAAAAGAAAGAAAGAGCGAGAAAGAAAGAAAGAAAGGAAAAAGGGAGGGAGGAGGGATGTCTATCAATATGTAGGGGCCTGGACAAATAAATTGCAGTAAACGAGCTTTGTACTATTAAGCAGTCACTAAATGAGCTAGACCTACATGACCAATAAAGATGTCTAAGACAGATGAAGTGAAAACGCTAAAATAAGTGATGGAGAAAAAGCTAAAATGCAAAATATGAGAGATCAGAATTATACATACAAATTCCAAGCCACGGGGACAGCGGCTACCTCAGGGAAGTGGGACTAAGGAGGGACAGGGTGGGGTTCCACCCTTTAATTTATTAATTTTGGCAGTTTGAGGTGTTTTTTTTTTAAGGCATAGGTAATGTATTAATTTTTTAAATGTTTTAAAAATACGCATTTTCAATAGTCTGTGCTTCATCTGTGCTTTCAGTTCAAAACCTGTATGGGGCCCACCCACGTATGAAATTGATTATGTGACTCACTGTTGAAAGGGAACCTGACGCCCTGGAAACTGGGGTCTGACGCCAAGGGGAGGCAAGCGCAGGAGGCAGGAAACGAGACCCGGAATCCTAGACCAGCCGGAAGTGCCTCTGCCCGGTGGGCCCCGCGGGGGGCTGGCCTCTTCCCGCCGGGCCATTGTTCCCGCGGGCGCGCTCCTTCCCACGCCGTTGCCCCTCTCCCTGCTCGCTGCCTCCCGGCCTCGTGAGTCCGCCGCTGCAAGCCGGGGTGAGGTGGGTGTGGCTGAGAATGGGTGTGGACGGTGCCCCGGGGAGGTCCGAGCCGGGGGAGGGGCGGTGGTCTGTGCTCGGGAGCTGGGGCGCCCTTTGGACCCGGCTCGCCATCCCCGGCTGTGGGGACAGGGCACGGGAGAGGGCTATGAGAGGACTGCGAGGATGAAGGGTCACCACCGTGAATAACGACAGCAGGATTAGGATTTAGGGTAGGAAATGCCTGGAGTCTGGAGAAATACCCTTGGGGAGGAGGAAGTCAAGGACAAATTTAAAGAGTCTCCGCAGCCTTCGTCATGGAGAGCCGGTGTCCCCTCTCAGAACCTTTTGGTTCTAAAAGAAGATTAGGGGGCGTTGAATGGACTGGTTTTCATCGCAGAATGTGACAGTTCCCTATTCCCTTTCCCTTATAGTCCATTGATTCTCAAACTTTAGAGTACATGCAGATCACTGGAGAGCATGTTAAAGATGCATATTCCGGGGCTCCCCATCCTTCCCCTCTCACGCCAAACCCCCATTCCCTTAGATGTCTGCTGCAGGCCTGCCAAGCTGGAATTCAGCTGCTGAGCTGAACTTCCTGACATTTTGGAAATACACAGGCCTCCTGGGTCACAGGCACTGCCTGGGTGTGAGCAGAAGACTTCTCCCTTGGGCCTCTATGGATTCTTAGGATTGTCCTCACAAAAAATTTGGCCTTAGGCAACCCACTTAACTTCCCCTGGCCTCCATTTCTTATGTAGTGAAATATTCATTGTAGTAATCAAACCTCAGAGTGTAATTGTGAGGATTGTATATGGTCTTGTATCTGAAAGCATGTAGTAGACTGTTGCAATGTTGACTGTTGCTCTGGAAGCAGAGCAGTGTGGAAATCTCACAGGACTTGGAATCTACCTAAGTTTTCCTTTCTGTCAGTTTAGTGAAAATGATATCAACCTTAAATGGTTGTTTTGAAGATGAATTTTAAAAACTCAAGTAAAGATTTCAATAAAAGTTCATTCATTTAGTCAAAGACAGGAACAATATTTCCGTTTATTCTTTCTCTAATTTGATTTTCATGTGAGTCTGAACTTTTTAACCATTCTGAGTGGTATGTGTGGTCCCTAATTCCTCCATGAACTCTGTAAGGTATTATTGCTATTTCTTTTTCACATTAAGAAAAAACTGAGATTGAAAAAAGATAATTGGCACAAGGTCAGACAATTGGTAGATGTTAGAACCAGAATAAAACCCTTGTCTGGGTGACTTGAAACTCTATGCTCTTTGTACATTATGACCTTATATTTTCCATTGTTCCCATCCTTTGGTCACCAAGTCAATTTACTTTCATTGAAGAGCTTCAGGGTCTATGACAATTGTTCATATTATCAGTTCCTATCATCAGCTATTGCCTATTTTCTATATAAACAATGATTTTTACTTCTTAGGAGGGAGCCTTCAAAGGTGTTTCTGAAACAAGCTCCAGCTGGAGGGTGCCTTTTAAGCTGTTTGAGGTCAGGATGAATACAGACTCAAAGAAGATTTTATCCTTGGATGTTCAAACTCCTGAGGTATGGGAAGAACTTCTGACAGTGAAAATGGAGGCAGAAAGTCACCTCCAAACGCAGGAATCCAGACTGAAACGCAATAATCCATTGGCAAGGGAAATTTTCCGAAGGCGCTTTCGGCAGCTCTGCTACCAGGAGACCCCTGGACCAAGGGAGGCTCTTACGCGACTCCGGGAACTTTGCTACCAGTGGTTGAGGCCACATGTGAGCACGAAAGAGCAGATTTTGGATCTGCTGGTGCTGGAGCAGTTCCTGTCCATCCTGCCCAAGGAGCTGCAGGGCTGGGTGCGGGAACACTGTCCGGAGAGTGGGGAAGAGGCTGTGATTTTGCTGGAGGATCTGGAGAGAGAGCTGGATGAACCACAATATGAGGTAGGAAGGGAGATTTGCCAGGGAAAAAGTAGATGTGGGTCACGAAGGACCTTTATATCCTCTGCTTTGTATCTTCTTGACTTTGGTGATTAAATTTTCTGCTTATTTCTAGGAAGTGTTTCTTTAGACAGTTAATTTCTTCAGAAGTCAAATCTTGTCTTTTTGTCCCCAGATGGTAGCCCCCAGACAGGGGCAAGAAGACCTCTCTACAGAGACAGTGCCTGTCGGAGAACACACATCACTGAGCCTTCAGTCTCAGCCTAAGGAGCCCCAGTTCACATGTGACTCTGCTCAGGAGTCCCATTCAATTGGAGAGACAGGTGAGGGACAGGATTTATCTGATATTGAACATGTCCCACCTGGTCAAGCAAAAACACAAAACCTAGAGCTGGGGAGACAGGAGATCAGAAGACTCTTTACCAGATAGCAGCAGCACTCAGTGCTTCTGAGTGCCTAGGGTGCTCATCTTTGTCCCCTCTCCCTGCATGCAGTCTTCCCCCTGAGGGCCATCCTGGAAGCTCTCTGGTCTCCTGGCACATGGTACATTAGGAAAACTTTCAGGAATCACTGTGGAGAGCAGCTTTAGAGAATGGGCTTCAAGGCTTGACAGACATAAGGTAAATCATGGCTGCCCCTCTTAGAAACTGCTTGTACTTGGGCAGGTTACTTAACTACTTGATCTCAGTTCTCTCATCTGCCAAATGGGGTTGATAATAGTATTGTCTTAGTCTGCCCAGGCTGCCATAACAGAATACCACAGACTGGGTGGCTTAAATAACAGAATGTGTTTTCTCATAGTTCTAGATGCTAGGAATCCAAGATCAAGTTGGTTTCTTTTTTTTTTTTTTTTTTTTGTGAGGAGATCAGCCCTGTGCTAACATCTGTAATCCTCCTCTTTTTTTTGCTGAGGAAGACTGGCCCTGGGCTAACATCCACGCCCATTTTCCTCCACTTTATATGGGAGGCCGACACAGCATGGCCTGACAAGCGGTGCGTTGGTGCGCGCCCAGGATCTGAACCGGTGAACCCTGGGCCGCCGCAGTGGAGTGCACGCACTTAACCGCTTGCGCCACCGGGCCAGCCCCTCAAGTTGATTTTTGGTGAGACCTCTCTTCCTGGCTTGTAGAAGGCTTCCTTCTTGCTGTGTTCCCACATAGATATTCCTCTGTGCACGTGCATGTGGAGAGAGAGAGAGCTTTGTCCTCTTCTTATAAGGACATCAGTCCTATTGGATTAGGGCTCCAACTTTATGACCTCATTTAACCTTAATTGCCTTCTTAAAGGCCTTGTCTGCAAATACGGTCACTCGGGGGTTAAGGCTTCAACATATGAATTTGGGTTGGGGGGGCACACAATTCAGACTAGAACAAGTATGTACCTCAGAAGGTTGTCGTGAGCGTTGAATACACATAATTTATGAATACACTTGTCGTGCATTATGCTTAATAATGGTAGCTGTTCTTATCAGAAATTACCAGTGCTACCCTCGCCGACTGGGATTTACACTCGCAGTAGAAAGGTATGAGGGGCCAGCCCCGTGGTGTAGTGGTTAAGTGCATGCGATCCGCTGCTGGCGGCCTGGGTTCGGATCCCGGGCACGCACCAAGGCACCATTTGTCAGGTCATGCTGTGGCGGCATCCCATATAAAGTGGAGGAAGATAGGCACAGATGTTAGCCCAGGGCCAGTCTTCCTCAGGAAAAAGAGGAGGATTGGCATGGATGTTAGTTCAGGGCTGATCTTCCTCAAAAAAAAAAAAAAAAAAGAAAGGTATGAGATATGCTCAGTAGGTGGCAGACTGGATGGAGAATCCAGTGGAATAACACTTGCCATTTCCTTATAGGTAATCTTCTTAATGGTGGCAGTACTGGGCACCAGTGGTGTAGCATTGGACACTTGGGGCTGAATCAGCTGCCTTCCCATTCTGGCTCTCCCTGTAGCAATTGGCTCCAGCTTCTAATTTCCCACAAAAACATCAGAGTCTCTTACTGACTTTGTTAACCTGACAATCAATCTACAGCACAGTTCTGGTGTTTTCATTTTCACATTACCCCCTTATGTATAAAGCCACAACCTCCCTTGCTTCTCTGTCTCCTGCCTCTATTTATTTCATCTACCCTAGCAATCATACAGTTATCATGGATTTCTATCACTTGGAACACATCTCTTGATTTAAGTTAAAATGTGTTTGTTGAGTATATTCTGTGCATACTGCAGACCTTCCTCTGACTCCCATTACCTCATCAGATTAAAATTCCTTCTGGTTTCATTTTCCTCCTTTATGAGCATCTTTCCAGTCAGTTCCTTTGTTTCTTTCTTCTTGCTGCCCCCATGAACTTGGACTTTTCATTTTCTAGCCATCTTCTCCTTTCTTCTACCTTCCAAACTGCCTCTAGAACCCTGCTGAGAACGCCTTCCTCCAGGAAGCACATCTGAGTAAGTTCATCCACACATCCACCCATCCATTTAGTCATTCATTCATTCAACAGATATTTATTCAACATTTACTATGGCTACTGGAGAGTATCCAGAGGCCATCTATGGATTGGAGAGTTCTCCCTATAGGACCATCAGTGCAGGTGTGTTTTATACATTCAGGAAAAGCCATAGTAACATAGTAAATGTTTGAGATTACAAGGACCAAATCCAAGTTCCAGCTCTTCAGTTTTTTAGCCAAGGAACATTTAAAGTTACTTTAGATCACTGAGTTTGAGTTTCTTTATAAATTCATGGTGATTGTAAAAAATCCAAATCATATAGATGTTTGTATAGTAAAAAGTGAAAGTTCTCCTCCAGATCCACTCCCCTGGAGTAACCACTGTCATCAAATTGCAGTGTATTTTCCAGACTTTTTTCTAAATATAGAGTCTGTCTAGCTATGTATTTATCTTTCTTTCTTTTTTTTTTTTCCAGTTCTTAAAGAGGTGGGATAATAACATCAAGGGGTTTTGTGGTGAGTTAGTTTGAGAATGTATGTGAAGGTGCTTTGTAAGTCATGGAAGGCTGTATAAATGGTAATTACTAGAAGGTGGGAAATGTCTTCGTTTCTATATTCTACCGAGTTCCCTTGTACATTTCAGATATAAGTATGAAGTTTGGGCAAAAGGGTAGGACTGATCCCTCTTGTGGCCCATTTCTTCTCTGCATACACATTTCTGTTTTCCAAACCTGTTGTCATCTCTCAGCTAAAAGGAGGGAGAGAACCCTGGTCTAACAACAGAGGAGTCCTAAGAGGTACCTATCCAGGTGTGTCAGCGACAATACAGTTAGAGGTGGGAGAAAGAGTCAGATGTTTTAGTAAAAAGAAGGGATCGGTGGCTGTTTTCCTTGGGCTTTTCTGGGTTGCAAGGTGGGAATCACACCCAGGGAACCCGAGACATCCTAAGGCCACCCCAGCAGCTGTTCTCTAGTGTTTAGAAAGTTTGAGTCTGTTTGTTTCCGTTCTCACCTTCAACTCCTCGAAATAGGGAGAGTCTGACTGGGTTGGCTGGACCCTATCCAATATGGGCCAGTCCTATGGGGCAGCATTTGCCTCAGGTGCCAGCCCCTGGGCCAGTCAGTTGAGGTCATACTATACCGTGAGGTCCATAGTAGTAGCATTGATTTCAACTCTTTCTGTTTTATTCATTCAACAAATATTTATTGAGTGACTACTATGTGCCAGGTATGATTCTCAGGGAATAAAACAGAAAGATCCTGCTGTCAGGGAGATTAGATTGTAGCAAGAGGAAAACAAATAATAAATATACAAATAAGGTGATGATATAGTCTGTTAGAAGGTGGCAAGTGCTATGGAATAAAGCAAAAATTGAATGGGATCAGGGAGATTATGAGTGCTACGGATGCGGCAAATAGATTGCAGTATTAAATAGAAGAATTAAGAAGGTGACAGTTGAGCAAAAACTTGAAGGAAGTGAAGGAATGAGGCTTGCTATTGTCTGAGGTGAGGGCTTTCCAGAAGAGAGAAGTGGTAGAGCACAGGCCTTGTGCTGGGAATGCACCTGGGATAGGTGTGGATTTGAAAGTCGTGAAGTACTGCCTGAGGCACCTAGAATTTGTTGCAGCTTAATACTTGTTCCATAAATGAATGAATGAATGAATACATGAGGTAACTTTCCTTGGAAAGTTGAGGCTCCCTACCTCAAAAGGAGGAGAGTGTTCTAAGGGAGAACTCCAGAGAAGCCACCTTGATCCTGACTCTCCTCTCCCCATGAAGAAGTATAAACAGGGGGCCGGCCCGGTGGCATAGTGGTTAAGATCATGTGCTCCTCTTCGGCGGCCCAGGGTTTGTAGGTTCGGATCCCGGGTGCAGACCTACACACCGCTTATCAAGCCATACTGTGGCAGGCGTCCCACATATAAAGTAAAGGAAGTGGGGCATGGTTGTTAGCCCAGGGCCAATCTTCTTCAGCAAAAAGAGGAGGATTGGCAACGGATGTTAGCTCAGGGCTAATCTTCCTCACCAAAAAAAAAAAAAAAGAAGAAGAAGAAGAAGTATAAACAAATTCTCTCTGGGCCCAGTCCACATGAGGATGGACTGAGCTGCATTTTACCAAAGAGGACAGACTTCTTCATTACCTAGAGGAAGGTGTTACCACACTGGCCCTTCTGTTTCTAACCTCCTCCCTACTCTATGATGTAGAGTTACATCACAGGTGCTTCTATGATGTAGAAGGGCACGTAGCGACCCTCCCATAGGCTCAGGGAACAAGTGATATTTACCTGGTCTTTTTTGTTTCAGATGAAATGACCAACACTGAGGACAGAGAGTTGGTGCTAAGGAAAGACTGTCCTAAGATAGTGGAGCCACATGGGAAGATATTTTATGGACAGATCTGGGAGGTATCACACCAGGGTCCCCAACATGGAGAAGTTGGTGGACATAGGGGTCAGATAGAGGGGCAGTGGGGAAGCCCCTTAGGAGAGGGGCAGCACAAATGTGATGAATGTGGGAAGAGCTTTGCTCAGAGCTCAGGTCTCATTCGACATCAAAGAATTCACACTGGAGAAAGACCCTATGAGTGTAATGAGTGTGGGAAGACCTTCAGTCGGAGTTCTGGTCTTTTTAATCACCGAGGAATCCACAATATCCAGAAACGGTACCACTGTAAGGAGTGTGGGAAGGCCTTCAGTCAGAGTGCGGGTCTTATCCAGCATCAGAGAATCCACAAGGGAGAAAAGCCCTATCAGTGCGGCCAGTGTGGTAAGAGCTATAGTCGGCGTTCGTTTCTCATTGAGCATCAGAGAAGCCACACCGGGGAGCGCCCTCACCAGTGCAACGACTGTGGGAAGAGCTTTAATCGCCACTGCAACCTCATCCGCCATCAGAAGATCCACACCGTGGCTGAGCTGGTCTAGTCCTTGCTATGTGCAAGTTTTCCAGATCATTGGCCAAGTCGAGTGGGGTAGCTTAAGACTAGAAAAGGCCTTTCTTCCTGTCTCCGCTAAATGTATTTTAGAACAAATGCTGACCTCTGGTCTGAGGACATCCAAAAAGGAATGTTCGGGTTTTTGAAGCTGCTGCTTTCCCTTTGGTTCCTTTACTCCTTCCCAGTTCTGACTACTCCCATGCCCCTTATTTATTCTCTTTGAGATGGCTGCTAAACCTTCCTAATAATGTAATAAATGGTATCGCTGTAGCCAACTTGCCTGGAAGATCTGTATCTGTGTTTAATTCTTAAAGATCACGTAGACCTTGCTCATGTTTTACCATAAATGGGTCTTTGGTGTTTCCCGTGACCAGTACCTACATGGCAAACACCTTTTCCCCTTACTGCTTCCCTCTGGCACCTACATGACGCTCCCTTGGAACCAGCATTGGCTGGGTGTTTCACCGTTTGCAGAGTGCTTCCCTTTACTTAACCACAGTTGGTCCTCACAACAACCACACAGGGAAATGAGGATTATTATTATCCCGTCTTACAGATGAGGAATCAAAGACTCAGAAAATCCAAGCACCAGAGCCAAGGTTTAAACCCTGGACTTTTATTTTTAGTAACTTTTTTATTTTTGGAATTATTTTAGACTTATAAACAAGTTGCCAAGATGGAGTTCTCATATACCCTTCACCTAGCTTCCCCTAATGTTAACATCTAACATCAAGTCTTTTTAGTTAGACCCTTGGCTTTTGACTCCAAATCCCTGTCTGTTTACAGTGTTCTGCTTCTTATTGGTATTCTCAGATTTCCTCATTTAAGTTTAGCCATTTGGAAGTCTGTTAGTGCCTTTCCATCACATCTTCAGCGTTACAAAAAGCCATTTTTATCCTGAGTACAGGCCATGTCAGAGAACCGGATCATCATCCAGATAAGATGCTTTAAAAACTACTGTCTTGGGCCGGCCCTGTGGCTTAGTGGTTAAGTGTGCGCGCTCTGCTACTGGCTGCCCGGGTTCGGATCCCAGGCGCGCACCGACGCACCGCTTCTCTGGCCATGCTGAGGCCGCGTCCCACATACAGCAACTAGAAGGATGTGCAGCTATGACATACAACTATCTACTGGGGCTTTGGGGGAAAAAAAAGGAGGAGGATTGGCAATAGATGTTAGCTCAGAGCCGGTCTTCCTCAGCAAAGAGAGGAGGATTAGCACGGATGATAGCTTAAGGCTGATCTTCCTCACACACACACAAAAAAACTACTGTCTTAATCTCCTGAATGTTTCCTTTCTGTTGCTTGGCTTAGGTCTGCAGAAAAATTTTCCTCCCTGTGTAGATTGTTGGGAAATTTTTCCTAGAGTTTCAACAATGGGTGAGAGAATGTTTTAGCAGCAGCACACATAAGAGTTGTGTGCCTTGAGTGTTCTGCCCCCAAGGGAAGCTCTTTCCCAGGGAAGTTTCCTCATGGGGAGGAGGAATCTCTCCTCCTTGGGACTGAAACAGGCTTGAGGCTCCCACAGACTCTCTTGGCCTCCCCTCCTTTATTCCCTCTTATGATTTCTCTGCCAAGGCTGCAGCCCCATCTCTCCTTTAATGTATTTGATGAGATGGGAGTGAGGGCAGGAACATCCTGCAGTTTGCTCAGATGACCCTGTGCATACACAGTTTGAGCTTTGTGCTGTTTTTCGTAACTCCTAAATGTGTTGCCCTAAATGTGTTGCCCAGGGAAGCCAACTCTTTTTTTTTTTGTGAGGAAGATCAGCCCTGAGCTAACATCCATGCTAATCCTCCTCTTTTTGCTGAAGAAGACTGGCTCTGAGCTAACATCTACTGCCAATCCTCCTCCTTTTTTTTTCCCCCAAAGCCCCAGTAGATAGTTGTATGTCATAGTTGCACATCCTTCTAGTTGCTGTATGTGGGATGCGGCCTCAGCATGGCCGGAGAAGCGGTGCGTTGGTGCGCGCCCAGGATCCGAACCCGGGCCGCCAGTAGTGGAGCGCACGCACTTAACCGCTAAGCCGCGGGGCCGCCCGGGGAGCCAACTCTTGAATTGGGGATTATGTAATTTAACTCTTATGGAAAATTTCAAACAAACAGCAGTAGAATAGTATAGTGAACCCCCATGTACTCATCACCCAGCTTCAACAGTTATCAACTCCTGGCCCATCTGTTTCATTTATACCTCCTCCTCACTTCCTCTGGATAACTTTGAAGCAAACTTAAAATGTAAATGTTGATTCAGGTTGAGATCATTAAGCAGACCTGGTGACTGAGCCTTTCTTTTCCTGATCCAAGTCTCTCCATTTTTCTTGTTTCTCCACTGAGTGAGTGGCCTTGGAAGTTGGGTTTTAAGTCAAAGCCCTTATTAACGGTTTCCGATCATAGGGAGATAAATTACCTAATACACAGCATCACCTAAGATTTCCATAAAACATCAGCTTAAACTAAGGCATCCAATCCCCTCTCTCAGGGAGAAGTTCTACATTCGGGGGCAGCCCAAGATGAATTTCCACATCATAGCAGGTTTAAAGCGTAAAGCTCTGGGATCATTTGATAGAAATGTTAATGTAAAATACCTTCCCCTGCCAAACAGAAATGGTCTGGGGATTAGCTGTCACGGGTTACATTAATTGTCGTAAATAGAGTCCTCTGTCTTGAGTGAGAAAAAGTTCAAATATTGAAGTAGCCTCTTCTCATCCTTCATTGTGTCTGCGTACCACATGGTTTAGTAAAAAAGGAGTGGACCAGGAGTCAGGTCCCCTAGGATGCAGTCCATGCCCAGTGAGTTCTAGAGTGTGGGACCTCAGATAAGCCACTTGGTTGGGTTGCCAAGAGGTAGAGCCTAGCCAGGGATTCTGGTCCAGGGGATTTACTGAGGAGAAATAAACTGCAGGAAAAAAACTGCATGGCAGTGAGGGAAGCAGGATATGGAAGAAGAAAGGGCTGAGCGAGATGTGGTCTCAGTTCAGGTTTAACTTTAGCCTGATTTGGAGGAGGGGCCTCTGGAATAAAACTTGCCCTGGGTCAAGGGGCCAGCCTTTTGTACCCTCAGTCAGTCACTTATTGACTGAGGGCTGCCCTGAGAGAGTAGAGCAGCACCCTTGTCCAAGGGTAATTCTTCAGAGAAGGGGCGTCTATGGGCCATTAGCAGCCACCTCTCACGACAATCAGGAAATGGGTGCGCTGCCCTTCACGGCAGTGGGGGAATGGGTGTGCTGACTTGCTGAAGGGGACCTGAGGAGGACACCACTGGCATCTATCACTGTACTTAACCTCTCAAGGCCCCAGTTTCTTCACCTAGCTTCCTACTTTTCAGGCTTGTTCTGATGAACCACAGACAGCCATATATGAAAGGACATTGTAATCTATAAATGCTACATCAAACAAATAGAAGGTGATATTATTACTAAATCTGAATATGATATATCAAGGCAAAAGGAGGATCTGACATAGGGGTGAAAGATTTCTCTTTTTTTCTTTTTTGTGAGGAAGATTAGCTTTGAGCTAACATCTGCTGCCAATCTCCCTCTTTTTGCTGAGGAAGATTGGCCCTGGGCTAACATCCGTGCCCATCTTCCTCTACTTTATCTGGGACGCTGCCACAGCATGGCTTGACAAATGGTGCGTTGGTGTGCGCCAGGATCTGAACCTGAGAACCCTAGGCCGCCGCAGCGGAGCACATGCACTTAACCGCTGCACCGCCGGGGTGGCCCCTGAGATTTCTCTTTTAACTGAAAGTTTTTGTGGGACTTTTTCTTTTATCTCAGATTTTTTTTTTTAATTTGTATTATGGACTGCACTCACACAGGTTTTGAAAGTAAATTAATATTAAAAAGTAAAGGCTTGTGTGTTGAGTGAAATTCTGTTTCCATATATATTTATACCTGAACTAATCATTTAGTTTATGTGTAATGTAAATTTGTTCTGCAACAATCTCTCAACTAAATCAATCTAAAAATTCTCCCATCCCGACTTCTTTCCTTCTCTGCTGATCTCACCCCACCTGTCTTAGTCTGCTTGGGCTATCATAACAAAGTACCATGGGCTGGGTGGCTTATAGAATTTTGAGAATAGAACAATAGAATATTGTTCTATTGAGAACAATAGAAATTTGTTTCTCACAGTTCTGGAGGTTAGGAAGTCCAAGTGGGGGGGCAGATCTCAAGCTCACTGATGTCTCTTCTTAAAAGGGCACTAATCCTATCATGAGGGCCCTACCCTCATGACCACATCTAATCCTGATTATGTCCCACAGGCCCCATCTCCAAATACTGTCACACTGGGGATCAAGGCTTCAACATATGAATTTGCGGGGGGGGGGACACAAATATTCAGCCCATCACACCACCCCACTACCTCCAGTGACTACTCTCAACACATCTCTCCATTAGTTTCTTCAGCTCTGCTTGAGAACTAAACATAACCGTATGTTTATATAATCTATTATTGTGAATAAGAAGAGTTTTGTTTCTTCCTTTGCTCATTTCTCTTTCTTGTCTTGAAACACTAGTCAATCCCTCCATCGCAATGTTGAGTAGAAGTCATACTGATAGTGATCCTTATTTCTAATTTTGAATGGATGCATCTAATGATTCAGCAAATGTCATATTTGCTGCGTTTCTGATAATTATCCTCATAACATTAAGAACATTCTCATCCATTCCTCATTTACTAGAAGTCTTTATCATGAATGGGTATTGGATTTTATCAAATAATGTTTCTGCATATATTAAAACTGAAATTTTTTTCTTTTAATATGTTATTGTGGGGAATTATGTTAACAGATTTTCTGTTGTTAAAATATTAGTTTTTCAAGTTTGTTAATTGTATTGTTCAAATTCTTCTACATCCTTACTATGTTTTTGTCTATTTGATCTATTGTTTACTGGGAGAGGTTTGTTAATACTGTGCTGTGGGAGGGGACTTGTCCATTTCTCCTTATATTCTGTCAGTTTTGCTTTATATATTCCAAAGTTATGATTTTAGGTGTGTAGAGGTTTAGGAATTGTATGTCTTCTTGTGGAATTATTCCTTTAATCATAATGTTCTTTATCCCTAATAATGCTTATGTTGTTATTAAGGTAGCTAGTCCAGAATCTTTTAGAGAATATTAGCCTCGTATCTCTTTCCTATCGTTTTTTTTTTTTAATTATTTCCTTTGAACATCAAGTGCCCAGAATTAGATTAATTATAATACTTGATGTGACTCATGACACACTGTCATCATTGGTTCATGAATGCCATGCTTTTGATTATTAGTTTTGTAATTTAGGTAGTTA